AGAACCAGAGAGATACTTGTTAACACTATCTATAAACCCATCTGATAATGATAAGTGGGCCAATAGAAATGAGGCGAAAACTCATAAAGGTAGCCTATCAATGCAATGATATCACAGCATGAAAACTTGCTAAAACGCAAAAGTCTCGCGACTAAGCTGCAGAATGGAACCGCTAGAGGGGTACTTTTAAAATTAAAAGTAGAGCCCGTAAGTTACACATAATTCTTTTTATAATTATTCTTAATTTATAATTTCATAATTATTTATAATAATTATTTAAATAATTATTCAATTGTTTGATTGTTATTTATAATTTGTTAATTATGATTTGTTTTTTCAAAACTATTTTTCTTGACCAAATTTTTAATTTAATTTAACTAAAAAATTTATGCTTCTAAACATTAATAGGGAATAATCGGCTATTTTGATGAAAAATTTCCCGAACTGGTTTGTAAATTTTAGGCTGCGATTCGCTAGTGCGCCATATTATGCTCGGATTGAATTGATATGACCACATTTAGTCAACAAATATCTGACGTAATCACGGTAGAAATTATATAATTTCATATCTCTTGGAAAAGCTTCTTTTGTTCTGCAACCATGTGACGACAGTTCATTGAATTTTTTTATAATATTATTTGGATTTATTCCGAAATTTTTTTTAGAGAACATCAACTGATGCCTATGATAGAACCACAAATCTCTCTTAAAAATAAATCTGCCTAAAAACAGTTGAAATTGAGCGAAGAATTTTCCAAATTCTGTAGATTAGCAAAAGATAATGAATAGCATAAGGCACTTGATGGGCATAAGCATGCTTGAATCATTCGGCAGGAAATTCAACTATAATTTTATAATTTTGGTCATCTTCCATTATAATTTTAGTCACCAATTGTTCGTACAATTGCTTTTTCGACTAAAATTTAACAGCTGAAAATCATTAAAATTTTGAGGACAACGCTTTTAGAATCTTTGGGGTATAGTAAAGAGGCGATCACCTCCAATTATTCTATCTATTTCGCAAATAATACTACCACAAGAGATCTTATAATAATGCCTACAGTTAATTTTCTTTCTGTTGTAAGATATTGGAAAATTATATTAAAAATTTTTAATATTAAAATATTTAAAATATTTAAAAAGGCAATTAAATACAATTAAAAGCAATTATTTTAAAGCATTTACCCATGAGTATACGTAAAGTCCGACATTGTTCTTCTTTTCTTTTATAGTGTCCAAAATGAACCGAAACATAGTATATGGTTATACGACGAGATACTTACGATTACCAGTTTTTGAACGAGTATTCATGTCGTAGAATCGGCCAATTTCTGCTTGACCACTACCTTCTGAGCCAGAAAGTCGAATTGCAGCAACTGTGACACCACACATCGTACGACATAAAAACTGTGGAGACCAATGATTTGCTTGATATTCTATACATAATTTACCTAAAAGAACTTTAAAAATAGGCTATTCCAAATTGCATTAAATTAAATTCAAAAAATCAAATTTTATAAAAAATAAACTATTCAAAAATCGTAAAATATTTTTTTAAAAGTAAATTCTACAAAAAACGATTGAAATTAAGAAAAAACAAAAAATATTCAAATATTTTTATAGAAAGTAATATTAATCTATAAATTTAAGTTATAAATTCAAAAATGAATAAATCATTCTAAATGAATGAATAAATTAAGTTTGCAAAAAATTCAATGCTAAAATTATACGATTCCGTTAGAAAAATTGAAAATTCATAAACTCGAGAAATGCCAAAGACCAAGAAAATGTCAAATTAATTATGTCAAATTATGTCAAATATCAAATGTCAAATGTGCCGAACCAATAAGTTACAAGCGAAATAAATGTTTTTCAATTTTTTTTGTATAAATTCATAATTTCATACTTGATTCGTTTAATCGAATGTTTTTAGTTTGTCTGTCACTGCACAATTAGAATGAGAATTTTCGATAAGAAGGCATCTGGGAAAAAAAAACAATAAATCTCCAGCATTTTAATGGTAGATTTATCACTATCAAATGTGATGATCCAACTACACTGAAAATGCTCATTAGCATTCATCATTTCTATTTCAGAATCACTGTACCGGTAGTTCGAAGAGTAAGAAATTATTGCCAGGCAACCATTTGCACTATCTGGATTTTTTAATTACAGGATTGCTCATGTCCCAAGCAAGAACCAAGTCTCTGATTTTTAAGATAATGATTAGTAGATTAATCGCTTCCCCTATCTGCGTTTAGAATTATTTTATCATTTTTAGACAATAAAAAAATAAAAACAAATTTAAATATTTTTGACAAAATATTAATTTATAGAACAATTGAGATAAAAAGTTTTACGCTCTATGCGATTCCTTAAAATGTTGCAAAAAAACAAAACTATTTTACTTTTCCATTTGAAAAATAATTCTTGAATTTTGCTCTTAAGCAGCATTTTAGCCTATACAAGCAATTCGATCTCGAATTATAAATGATGAAAATTTGTGCGATCTCATCAGTTTCGCGAAATTCTCGAAATTCATAGGTGGGAATCCGTACTTATTTAGTTAAAATTTATAGTTATGCTTGTTACTCAATTGTTTAATAATTATTAGCTAAAATTTAATTGATTGAAGCTACGCAAAATCTATACGGAATTTTGACATTTTTTTCGTAATAAGCAGGAAAAAAATTTTGCGCATTAAAAATCGTTTATTTGTCAATTGCGCCCAAGTCTGAATTCAGTTTGATGGACAACTCTGTTTTCTCTCAGTGCCATGCACAAGTAGAGTGGAACCAAAATTTCTCGCATTTGTCCCCTACTCCATATCCATTGAAAAAAGGAAAACTGAGCGAGTAGGTTCGTACGTTCAATTTCACTTGAATTCACAGCGATGAGAGTACGAAAGCAACTGATTACGTTTGAGTTTGAGTTATCAGAAGGTTAATCCCAAGCTTTTCCCTTTTCAAAATTAGGTCAGAATTATTAAACCTGTGTAATCTTCGTTCAGCGGCAGTTAAAAAGCCAGACAAGTGACCGACTTTCCACTTACAGTGTTTGTTTGATCCACTTAATAAAATTTTGGCAATAATGGCACATCAATTTCCTTTCACTTTTTACTTTTTTTTACTTTATTCAATTACGGTAAATAAAATTAAACTAAATTATGGGTAAATAAATTAAAAGTGAAGTAAGTGAAGAAATAATGAAATTTAAGTGACAAAAGTGTTTTGCACGAGTGACTCAAATAAAATGATAACCCCAAATAAATTAAATTTGCACTCAAAGTTATGGCAAATAAACCATTTAAAATAAATAAATAAATAAGTCAGTAACTGCGCACAAACTTATATTTGTATTTTCATAAGGATATTAAATTAAATTATTTAAAAGAATTGAAATAGCACTTTAATAAATTCGATGGTTCTGATAGATTGGGTTCTTATCGTCGGCACTGTACTGATAAAAACACCGAAGGTGGAGTTTACATTAAAAATCGTACTGTTTATAAGTGATTATAAAAAAGGAAGAGAATCTAATAAATATGAGTTAAAAACAAGCTCTAATAGAGAATAAAAGAAAGACGAAATAATGATAGAAATCTTTCTCGGACTGCCAAAGATGAGGATTTTTCAGGTAAGAATAGACGGTCCAACGGCACCAGAGATCCAAGGAAGATTTAAATACAAAAATTTTAGATTATTTATCAAGCCAAAAGTTGTGGATCTGCTGATCTGTGAACTAGTCGCTGTAGGCGATAGAAACTAAATATGCTAATTATCTCGGACTCAACTTTATTTTTAAATTTTAAATTTAAATTTTACTTTTACGGTTTTACAGTAACGATATTTTTCGGGCCTAAATCCGACCTCATGATTAAAATTATTAAATTCTGGAACAAGCTAGCACGTGGTGCTTTGCCCCATCAGTTTCCAGTTTTAAGAGAAAATTACATTATTATTAGGTTTTCTTAAATAATAATATGACCTTCGATATGTTCTACAATAAAATAGCCTCAAGCGATCAATTTCATTTTCAATTTCATCCCTTACAACTCATTCCTGATCTCAATTCATTTCCATATCTGTAATACTTTACAAGCATATAAATAAAAACCATAGTGAAAAATAAAAAACACCTTAAAATAAAATAACTGAATTACAGATGATTTTCTTGAAGGACAAGAAGATAACGAAAAATATACAAAATTGAAAATTCCTTGCAGAAAGATAAACGATTTAAAAAAAAAAACCATGGAAAGAAAAAAAAATTATTTGAAAAAAAGGCAAAACTAATTGAAATTTTTAAAATTCTATATATTAGAAAAAAATAAAATTCTTATTCAAACAAAATTTATGGTGAATTATGAACGAAAAAAAAATTGAAATTTTCGATTATTGTAAACAATGTCAAAATTTCTATAATTTTTGTTGCCTGTAAATTTATTAAATTTATAAATTTTCCGGAATCTCCATCACATCGTCAAAAAACGTGGAATGGCATCGTCGACCAAAAATTCTTAAGGCCACAAGTAGGTCACAATACGGCATGAACGCTTACCTTATTAGTATTTATATTCTCTTATATCAATTATGTCAATTTTATCATAAATTAACAAAACAACAATAATCAAATCAAAATTCGATTCAATAAGAAAACATTTCTTTTTTGAATTTCAAAAAGTAGAAATTCATCTGTTTTGCAAAATTAAATTTTCGGAAGCCAATATTCCTTTTTCTTCTTGCTTCATGAATTGTTGGAAAATCAGTAATTCCAAACGAAAAATTGAAAAAATGAATAAGTCAAAACAATATTTTTTTTGTTGACGATCGAATCAAAATGACGCAAATGTTTGGTAAAAAATATCTTGGGTAAGCTTTTTTGTATATTTTGGTATATTCCATTTCTATTATCACGTATTAAACTCGATATAAGCGAAAAAAACTATATCGATATCCAAAATATCTATGTGAAGAACACTGAATCGCGTGAGATTCAATATGCTCTTGGCAGTGGTGTTTCTTTTATTCCAGCTCGGTAAGCTTATTTCAGATATATCTCGTTCGTAGTCTTTCCATCTCAAATCTCAAATTAAATTTCTTAACAACTATAAAGTAAATTCAGGACTTATAACTTATGGTGATGATTTATGTCCTGTGTCGAAGATTACTTCGGCTGGTCGAGAAAATATTTTGAAGAAGCTTAATGACATTCGGACGAAAGTTGCTATGGGCCAGTTCTCGACATCAGATGGAACGTATCCAGCAGCCAAGGAGATGTACAAACTGGTTATTACTAATGTTTATTAATGTTTATTGATATTTTATTAATGTTTTATATAATTTTAATAAATAATATTCTGTCAAATACCGTGTGCAATCCGTTAGTGATTGTTTTCTACAATTTTCTTTGGACCATATTTTAATTCTAATTTTATTCGAAGAGATGGAACTGCACATTGGAGAAGCTGGCTCAGGAACACGTAGACAAATGCCATTATGATCGTTCCGAATATTTCCTTAAGTATTTTTATGGCGATGGCGTTGGTGAAACTTTGTTTGCGAACTGGACTCTTGAAAACGACCCCAAAGGTGTGCTTTTATGTTTTAATCAACGAAATCTGCAAAGTTTTATATTTATATGAAGTTATTATTTGAAAAAACACTACAATTCCACCAATTTTTCTGGTGAATTGCATGAAATACGATTCTGCCAACCTTTAAGATAAATAAAATGGTAGATAAAATGTGAAACTGTTAATAAACGCAGTAGGTACCTATACTGTTAAGTTCAACCAATGAGTAGAAATGAGTATGTTTTTCCTCTCTATCTAAATCACATCTCTAAGTGGAATTCATTTCTTTTACCAGGATGCAAGTTTATATATGGTTTGGCAAATAAAATATTTTAAAAGTTCTATAGACTATAGGCCCAGTCTTCCTTAAAATCGCCCACAACAAATGGCATACATTGAGATATATGATAATAATTTTTGTCTTTTGTTATCACTATATGAATATATACAAGACGAACAAGAAGAGAAGTGTTTCTTCTTGTTTGCATTATTCGGGAGGACATTCTGCGCTGTTCTAATTACACGTTCTTCATTGATGTCACCCAAATGGAATACTTCATTAGCTTATTCAAGATTCTCCAAACTGTGCAGTTCGCCAACTTCACTTTTTATCAGTACGGGCAATTTTGTCGGTGTAGCGAAGTTAATAGAGCAAAATTTTATCTGCCATAAAAATGAAAATAAAACCAATAGTAGTATGACTGGAATAGAGTGGAATAATATTATGTTAATAGGAATAAGTAAAAAGATAAATGAGGAAAGGAGGGGAGAGGGAGGAGAAGAAGAGAGATGATACTAAAATTTGAGAAATTGATGTCGAACAATGCGCTACAATTGTTTTTTCCTATAATTTAATGAGTTCTGTAGACATGCAGGTTTATGTTGATGCACAGCAGTAAAATCATAAAAATGAAAATAAAACCGATAGTAGTATGACTGAAATAGAGGGGAATAATATTATGTTAATAGGAGTAAAATCATTAAATATTTAAAATGCGCGTTATTCTATGGAACATATTAAATGACCTGTTGGCTTAATAGTTCGATTGAACTTTTTATGTTGTAAATAATATAGGCCACAGTTTCTTTACTGGCTATTCAGCTCGAGAACCCACAAAATCATTCTTTTCTGGATGCCAAATTGCCAAATAACCTGCCAGAAAACCCACAGAAACAGGAATACATTTGATTGATCTTTTGTCTAAATATTTGAAAATAGAGTTACAAGTAAATTCTCCAACAGCCATCTTGATTTGGTTTAAGCGATAATTACAATTAGGTTAAGACATAAAAATAATTTCATGATCAGACAGGGATCCCATAGAGTGGTACCATCGTTAAAAGTTATTTTTCTAATATTTCCGGCAGTCGAGCTTATCCAAGCGGCAAATGTTGTATTCCACCGGTTTACTGTAAAATTCAAATACTTCTGACAGATCTAATTCAGTCGAAAAGTGTGAAGATAGAATTAAAGATTATTGCAGAAGAAGACTGAGAAAAAACGGCCCATCAATTATTATTTATTTTAATTTATATAATATCAGAAGAGAAATATTGCAGACGATATGCTATCAGTGGCGGTGGATGAGTGGTTAAAAAGTAAACCAATGGGAGAAACAAGTTTATCAATGGACAAATATTTCGAAACGTCGAATGAAGATTTAGCTCAGGTTTTATTCATTCCTTTTCTTGAGACGATGCAAAATATTGCCCGGCACACTGCGAGGGCTAGTCGTTTCCATGATTCAGTCCCACTAAAATGCCTGTAAGCAATACACGGTTCTCGGTTTTCCATCATCAAATCCCAATATGAAGCTAAAACATATTTGCATTCAAAATTTTTCCTGGTCTTATCAATCCTTCTTCCCATTGAGTCTCATTTTACCATTTATCATAAGTTAAGCATAAAAATATCTACCAAATCCTTCAACGAATGATGCATACCACAGCTTGCGTTGTTGCGACGACGTTACCACTAATGTAGATGGTCTGCTTTCAATCACGCGAGGCTAGCATTAGATTAGCGTTCAATGCAAAATAATTTCATTTCTGCAAAAATGCATTTTTTAAAGCCAATAATATGGAAAAAATGAAAAATATAAAAAATAATTTTTAAGCAAAATAATTCATTTTTAATTTTTAAGCTGACAGACACATTTCATTTCAGTTAATCACGGCGCGCACGACAGAAATTGGCTGTGGAGTATCATTTTGTGAATATCCCAAACATCGTCCATACTACTTACAATTTATTACTTGCAATTACTATCCAAGGTAAAAATTTAATACATAGGAACTTCCTTCTTGTGCTTCTGTTGGTTATAATAACGCTGATAATCGCTGGAATCGAAAAAGAAAGATTTTTCCATGTAATTTAATTGGAATATATTTCAGTGGACAAAAATGGTACACCACGTTGTATGAGAGTGGTGAAAAATGCAAAAGCGATGCACAATGTACGACGTATGCTTCATCAAAATGTCTGTCATCAGAGGGTCTATGTACTCGAGAATTGAAAGAAAAGGAAGAACCAGAAAACACTAAAGAATTAGAAGAAATATCGGAAGAATCTAAGGAAGGAGAGGGGCAAGAAGAAGAATCCAAAGAGGAAGAGGAGCCCGAAGAAGAACCTAAAGAGAGCGAAGAATTAGAAGAGAAATCCGAAGAATCCAAAGAGGAAGAGGAGCCAGAAGAAGAACCAGAAGAGAGCGAAGAATTAGAAGAGAAATCTGAAGAACCGAAAGAGGAAGAGGAGCCCGAAGAAGAACCTGAAGAGAGCGAAGAATTAGAAGAGAAATCGGAAGAACCCAAAGAAGAAGAGGAGCCCGAAGAAGAACCTGAAGAGAGTGAAGAATTAGAAGAGAAATC